TAAATGAATTAGAAACAAAGAAGTAAAAACAATAAAAAACAAGATAAAAAAGTAAATGAATTAAAAACAAAGAACAAAAAACAAAATAAAGAAGTAAATAAATTAAAAAAAGGAGGAAATTAAAAGACTAGAAATTAAATAAAAAGACTAACTAACAGATTAAAAGCAATTCCTAAAAACAAATGAAATAAGTTATAAACTAAAATACAAAGGAAAACTAATAAATTAAAAGCAATTACTAAAACCAAATAAGTTATAAACGAAATAAGTTATAAACTAAAATACAAAAGAAAATTAATAAACTAAAGGCAATTACTAAAAACAAACGAAATAAATTATAAACTAAACTACAAAAGAAAACTAATAAATTAAAGGCAATTACTAAAAACAAAGGAAAAAAGTTATAAACAAAGTAACAAAAGAAACTAATAAATTAAAAGCAATTATCAAAAAGGGAGGAATTACGACGTTTGGAAATTTTATCATCGCATCGAGCGCGAAGAGGGGGAAAGCGTTATAATCGGTTCGGGTTTGTCTTCGATTAATTTGCTCGATCGTTAAGCGGCGATAAAAATGGAATAATTGGCAAAGCGTTTTTCAACAGCTGGCGGTGCTCATCTTTTTCTCTCTCCCCGGAGCGGACGTTTTGTGTCGCTGAGTCATGTTTCCGGCCAGTCGGATTTCTTGCACCTGTTCAAGACCGACTTCAACAGGTTCTCCTAGCGAATTTTATAACTCTCGAAGATAAGATTGAAATAAAACAACCTCTCTCTTTCTCTCTCTCTCTCTCAGTTTCTCAACCTCTCACCTCACCCCTAATAATTCTAATTCGCGGACAATTCGATAAGAAACATTCGAAGTTATCGTACTCTTTCGTAATCGTTGCGTTGCGAGATCGCGAAATAGTCGATAAGAAAGGAAAAAAAAAAAAAAAATACATCGAATCGAAGAAAATTGCCAAAGCGAGATAACCAAGTCTAATTGATCTAACGTACGAGCCGAGCGTTTATCTGTAACGACACGAGATAATGGAGCAAACAGCTTTCACGTGTGGTAAAATTGCACTTTGGCAAATTGCTGTAAAACCATTATATATTTGAAAACGTATCGAAAACGTTAACCCTTGTGTGCTTAACATTTTTGTTAATTTGTTCCAGGCTTGTGCGAGGTAGAGTCGGGTCAGTCCAATATCATCCTTGACATCGAGGAGAGCAGGGGAGATGGTAAGTTTTCCTGATCAATTCGTGTTATGGAATGAAAGAAATGGAAAGAATTTTTCTCGTGCAACAAAAACAAACAAATTTCGTCGCGATTCGAGGAGATAGAGGAAAGCATCGAAGTATAATCAATTTCTGATTATCGATATTTCGAAAGTATGATCAATATAGATCACGAACTCTTTTTCCTCGAAGAATACCCGAAAGAATCGCGTATATTTTTTCCAAGAAGTTTTGGGATTAAAATTATCCTTTTGTTTACGGCGATATCTCGGACGAAAATCGAAAATCGAGATAAATCGGAAAACGGTTTTTAAAGGGGAAGGTTAGAACGATCGATCGGCCGGAAATCGTTATCTTGGACGACGTTGCTCGAAGTTTTCCCAATTTTTAGACGAATCTTCGAGGCGAATAAATTAAAAGTTAGCTTCGATAGTATCTCGCGAACCGGAAGGCGTATCAGACGTATCAGCGCAGAATCATTTTAAATGATTTCGCGCTTCCAATCATCGCCGCTGCTCGTCCGTCCATCAGCCGGAAGTCGTTATCTTCGAAATTACAGCGATTCGAAGTTTGCTCAGTTTTTATCGGATTCAAGGCGAGCGAGATTAAAAATTACCGTTTCCTTTGCACGAGCATATCTCCGGAACCGGAAGTCGTATCGAGATGGATCGAAGAACGTTTCAAAGGGAAAGGCTCCAATCGAGCAATGGATACTGGACTCGTTTCGTTTCCAATTCGTCCAATTAGATTCTTTTTTTGAATCTGCGTCCTATCGTATTGTGATAAATACGTATATCACAATACATTCGAATTTCGAAACGAATATTAAAAAATTTTCTTCTTTTTCGTCTTTCGTCTCGTTCTTTAGAGAACTTAAGTTTTCGATGATAATAAATCATCTCTCTATTCGATTTCTCCTTTCTTTTCTTTGCCATGGGTGTCGTTTCACGATT